AAATGTGACCCTGAGGGACAGAAATGTCACCCTGAGGGACAGAAATGTGACCCTGGGGGACAGAAATGTGGCCCTGGAGGGGACAGAAATGTGACCCTGGGTGGCACAAGAGCATGGCCCTGGGGGACAGAAATGTGACCCTGGGGGACAGAAATGTCACGCTGAGGGACAGAAATGTGACCCTGGGTGGGACAAGAGCATGGCCCTGGGGGACAAAATGTGACCCTGAGGGACAGAAATGTGACCCTGAGGGACAGAAATGTCACACTGAGGGACAGAAATGTGACCCTGGGGGACAGAAATGTGGCCCTGGGGGACAGAAATGTGACCCTGGGTGGCACAAGAGCATGGCCCTGGGGGACAGAAATGTGACCCTGAGGGACAGAAATGTGACCCTGAGGGACAGAAATGTGACCCTGAGGGACAGAAATGTGACCCTGAGGGACAGAAATGTGACCCTGAGGGACAGAAATGTGGTCAGAGGGACCCGGATGTGGCCTGGGGGACCCGGGTGTGTCCCTGGGCGAGGATGAGGGGACCAAGTGCCAGCTCTGCTCCGCTGGGGTGGAGCAGCCTCATCCCAGATTCCCCAGTCCCTCGGGATCGGGATCATGGAGCACCTGGACCTGCCCCATGGTGATCCTGACCCCGGTGATCCCGTTCCCAGAGATCCCATTCCCAGTGATCCCATTCCCAGTGACCCCATTCCCAGTGATCCTGATCCCGGTGAGATCCCATTCCCAGTGATCCCATTCCCAGTGACGCCATTCCCAGTGATCCCATTCCTGGTGAGATCCCATTCCCAGTGATCCCATTCCCAGTGACGCCATTCCCAGTGATCCCATTCCCAGTGATGCCATTCCCAGTGATCCTGTTCCTGGTGATCCTGTTCCCAGTGATCCCAATCCCAGTGACCTTGTTCCCAGTGACCCTGTTCCTGGTGGTCTCATTCCTGGTGATCCCATTCCTGGTGATCCCATTCCCAGTGATCCAATTCCCAGTGATCCCATTCCCAGTGATCCCATTCCCAGTGATCCCATTCCCAGTGACCCCATTCCCAGAATCCGTGGCCCCCGGTGATCCCCGGGATGGGACACGGGGACATCCAGAGCCTCGGGATCAGGAGGATCCCTGACTGGGACCCAGGAAAAAACCAGGGATAATAAATCCAGGATTCCCCTTCCCACCATCATCTCCCAGAGGTTTTTTTTTTTTTTTTTTTTTTTTGTATGGGTAAATTTAAATTTTCAAAAAGAAATGGATCCATGGATGAGTGGATCCATGAATGGATGGTTGGGTGGATCCATGGATGGTTCGATGCATGCCCCTCCAGCGGAATTCCAGGGGCAGAAAGAAAGGAGGGACTTGGAGCTGCTCTGGTTGCAGCCTGGGAGAGCTGGGAATGTCCAACCGGAGAACAGAAACCTCCATGGAATCCTTGGAGCCCCTTCCCAAGCCTAGAGGGTCTCCAGGAGAGCTGGAGAGGGACTTGGGAAAGGCCTGGAGGGGCAGGACAAGGGGGAGGGGACCTTAAATCCCACCCATTCCAACCCCAGCCCTTCCCTCCATCCCAGGTTGCTCCAAGCCCCGTCCAGCCTGGCCTTGGCCCTGGAATCCCTTTTCCCAAAGGATCCCGAATCCCTGGATGAGCTCCGATCCCCATCCTCTCATCCCCTCCTTTCCCTCCTCCTGGGAAAGGTCAGGATTTGGGTAGAGCCTTATCCCAGAGGAAACCCGGGGTTTCCCGGTCCCTGCAGAGCAGAGGGGATGGAGCGGGAGTGTGGGGGATCCCAGAGGATCCCGATCCTCCTCTCCTAGCCTGCAGATCCCGAGGGAAGGAGCCAAGGTCCCGGGGATCTGGATCCTCCTTTCCCAGAACCAGAGGGAAGGATTCCCCCCCTAGGTCCTGGAGATCAGGATCCTCCTTTCCCAGATCCCGAGGGAAGGATCCCCCCCAAGGTCCCAAGGATCAGTATCCTCCTTTCCCAGATCCCGAGGGAAGGATCCCCCCCCCCAGGTCCCGGGGATCAGGATCCTCCTTTCCCAGAGCCCGAGGGAAGGATTCCCCCCAAGGTCCCGGAGATCTGGATCCTCCTTTCCCAGATCCCGAGGGAAGGATTCCCCCCAAGGTCCCGGAGATCTGGATCCTCCTTTCCCAGATCCCGAGGAAAGGAGTCAAGGACCCAGGGGGTCGGGATCCTCCTCTCCCAGCCTTGCTTCCCCTCCTGGATCCCAAGAGAAGGAGCTGGGATCCCACAGGATCGGGACCCTCCTTTCCCAGATCCTGAGGGAAGAATCCCAACTTCCAGAAGATTGGGATCCTCCTTTCCCAGATCTCAAGGGAAAGAGCTGGAGGCGATGCCGAGATCCCAGAGGAATGGGATCTTCCTCTCCGAGATCCCAAGGGAATTACTGGAGGCAAAGTCGAGATCCAAGAGGATCAGGATCCTCCTTTCCAAATCCTCACAGAAAGCAAAGCCGAGATCCCAGGGGATCAGGATCCTCCTTTCCCAGATCCTGAGGGAATTACTGGAGGCAAAGCTGAGATCCCAGGGGATCAGGATCCTCCTTTCCCAGATCCTGAGGGAATTACTGGAGGCAAAGCTGAGATCCCAGGGGATCAGGATCCTCCTTTCCCAGATCCTGAGGGAATTACTGGAGATAAAGCCGAAATCCCAGAGGATCAGGATCCTCCTCTCACAGATCCTGAGGGAAGAACTGGAGGCAATGCTGAGATCCCACAGGATCAGAACTCTCCCCTCCCTGATCCCAAGGGAATTACAGGAGGCAAAGTCAAGATCCCAGGGGATCGGGATCCTCCTTTCCCAATCCTCACAAGAAGCAAAGTCAAGATCCCAGGGGATCGGGATCCTCCTTTCCCAGCCCCTCCTCCCTTTCCACATCCCTCGGGAAGATCCCAGACACTCCCGAGCTTCCAACAATCCTTTATTTCTCTCTCCAAGGAATTGAACCCGGCGGGACACATCGGCTTTGGCATGAGAACCAGGGAACCCTTCCCGGCAGGAATCGGGCGCCCCTGGATGATGAGGAAGATGCAGAAATTCCTCCCTGGAATCGTCAGGAAGTGTCCCCCGAGCCTCCTCTCCGACGGATATTTCTGGAATTCCGTGGATAGCGCCGTTGGTAGAAAATATCCTCTGGAATCTGACAAATGTGCATCTCAAGGATCAGAAATCCATGAATTTTTCCACTCTGGAAAGGTGACGGAACATCCCCAAAGTCCCCCCTGACACCTCCAGGCCACCTCCAGGCCCCCAGGAGGGTCCCCTCCGTGTCCCCTGGAGGGGGCTTTGGGTGCTGAGAAGGGAAAATCCCATCCTGGAAAGGTGGGAATGGGAAAGGAGGGAAACTTTCCTTCCCTGCTGGGGTGGTGGTGACAGAGGTGACCCCTGGGGTATCCCCGGGAATTCCGGGAGTGTCCCGGGGTGAGCGTGGTGGTGGGAAGGGGTGTGGAGGAAAGGATGGAGAAGTGTTGTAATGTCCCAGATTTCCCCCACATACCTCTCTGAGGGAAAAGATTCCATCCCCGGAGTCCTGGTGAGGAGGGGAATGGGGATCCCGGGGGATAATGGGCCCCAAAATTCCTCCCTGAGGGAAAAATTCCATTCCCAGGGTCTCAGTGAGGGTGGAGATGGGGATCCAAGGGGAAAATATCCCAAAAAAAACTCCCTGAGGGGGAACAATTCCATCCCTGGAGCCTTGAGGAGGATGGAGATGGAGATCCCATGGAAAAATATCCCAGACTTCCCCCAAAATGCCTTCCCAGGGGGAACAATTCCATCCCTGGAGCTCTGGGGAGGATGGAGATGGAGATCCCATGGGAAAATGCCACAAATTTCCCCCAAAATACCTTCCCAGGATGAACAATTCTATCCCCAGAGCTTTGGAGAGAACGGAAATGGAGATCCCAAGGGAAAATCTCCTGGATTATCTCTAAAAAAACCACTCTGAGGGAAATAATTCCATCCCTGGAGCTCTGGGGAGGATGGAAGTGGGGATCCCATGGGAAAATATCCCAGAATGTCCCCAAAATGCCTTCCCAGGGGGAACAATTCCATCCCTGGAGCTCTGGGGAGGATGGAAGTGGGGATCCCATGGGAAAATATCCCAGACTGTCCCCCAAACACCTTCCCGAGGGGAACAATCCCATCCCCAGACCCTCGGCACAGAGGGACATGGAAATCCTGTGGGATCAACCAGGCTCCCACGGATGATTCCCGCTAAATCCCGAGGACTCCCAGCTCTGCCCCGCTACGGATTTGGGTTAAGACAGCCCCAAATCGCAGGGTTTGGAGCAGCCTACGTGACTCCCGGCTGCTTTTCCGGGCGGCTGATGTGGAAAAGCTCCGGCTAAGCCCCTCTTAGCCTGATTTCCGCGGCCGTCGGGTCCCTCTGCGCTTCCCGGGGAATTCCCGAGGATCCAGAGCATGGAGAGGCCAGGGCTGGCTGCCCACAGTGGGAGGTGCCCCCCAATCCCGCCAGATTCCGAGGCTCTCCCGCTCTCCCAAGTTTCACATTTTCAAGGAGTGGGGGGGGGGTTTTGTGTGAAATTAAAATCCAAGAGATTTTAAATTAAAATCCATTCCGGAGCCAACTGGGATGGCCCCGCTCCGGCGTCATTCCCGAGTCTGGAGCGGCTTCCTCCCGCTCCGTGAGGGGGATCCGGGCTGGGGGGCGTGAGGGGGCTACACGGAGCTGCGGCGCTTGGCGAATCCCGGGAACACCGCCAGGCTCTGGAGCCCGGTGGACACGGAGCTGATGGCGGAACGCCGGGAGCGGCAGAAGCACCGGTGCTCCGGAGTCTCGGGACAGCGGGCGGGCGACGAGTGGCTGCGCTCCACGCCCGTGTCCGAGCTGGACAAATCCCTGGGAATGATCATGGGGATGGAATACTGCAGCTTCTCGCGGCTCTTGTACCACAGGCACGAGCACACCGACTGGAAGTGCAGCACCTCGGCGTAGACGTTCCGGAAGCCGCTCTCGGCCGGGGTCACCGCGGAGGCCTCGGGGACGGCGGCCACGGCTCCGGAGCGAGCTCCCTGGCCGAGCAGCGCCCGCTGCTCGGCGTCGCGGCGCTCGTCCTCGGCGTTCATGGTCATGAAGCGCAGCACCACCAGGTTGAGGAAGGCGCCGATGACCGTCAGCCCCGTGAGGATGTAGACGAAGCTGAAGGCCACGTACTGCGGCTGCGTCTGCAGCGCCCGGTCCTTCTGCAGCGCCACGTAGTCGCCGAAGCCGATGGTGGTCAGCGTGATGAAGCAGTAGTAGTAGGCCTGGAAGAAGCTCCAGTTCTCGTAGTGCGAGAAGGCGGCGGCGCCGATGCAGAGCGTGCTGACGCACGAGAAGAAGCCGATGGTCACCATGTTGGCCATGGACACCTCCGGCCGCCGCATGCCCAGGCGCTTCTTGAGGCGGCGCAGCAGCGAGCGCACCAGGGTGTTGATGCGCTCGCCCAGGCTCTGGAACATCACCAGCGTCAGCGGGATGCCCAGCAGCGCGTAGAGCATGCAGAAAACCTTCCCGCCGTCCGTGCTGGGCGCCGCGTGCCCGTAGCCTGCGGGGAAAGGGAGAGCGGGGTGGGAATCCGTGATCCCGGCGGGAATCGGGGGTGGGGAGCGCCGGTGGGAAGCACGGGAAGGGTGTGGGATCCCGAAGTGAGGGTGGGAGGCGGGATTAGAGCTCATCCCATTCCAAGCCAGACTCCTGCCATGATGCCAGGGAGCTCCAGCTTGGCTTCAGACACTGCCAGGGATCCAGGGATTCTCTGGGAATTCCAGCCCAGCCGGGAATTCCTTCCCAAAATCTCACCATCCCAAGCTCCCCTTTCCCACTGGAAGCCATTCCCTGGCTCCTGGCCCTCCAGCCCTTGCCCAAATCCCAGCTCTCCTGGAGCCTCTGGAAAAGGCTCCATGGATTCCCTGGATCCTTCCCTGATCCAGCTGCACATTCCCAGCCCTCCCAGCCTGGCATTGGATCCATCCCCGTCCCGACTCCTCCTGGAGAAGGAATTTTGGGATCCAGGGGCTTCACTGGGAATGGGGGACTCCAGGAAGGGTCTCCCTTCCCTTTTTCTCTCTTTTCCACCCCTGACTTCCATAAAAATCCTTGTGAATGGATTCTGAGTGTCCTTTATCATGGAATCATGGGGTGGTTTGGGTGGGAAGGGACCTCCAATCCCATCCTGTTCCAACCCCGACTCCTTCCACCGTCCCAGGCTGCTCCAAGCTCCCTCCAACATTTCCTTGGACACTCCCAGGTACCCAGGGGTAGCCACATCTCCTGGGAATATCCTGGGAATATCTTGGGAATGCTGTGCCAGTGGCAATGTTTGGATGGACCCTTGGGTGGAGGCACCTTCCCCATGCCTGGGTTTGGGGAAATTCCCAAAATTCCCATCCCAGACTCGCTGGAGATGGGGAAATCAGGGATTGTGGTGGGCCGAGCGCTCCGTCTGTCCCCTGTCACCCCCTTGTCCCTGTCCCTGTCCCGGTGCCCCAGTTCCCGCCACCCGGGGGCTGCATCCGCATCCGGCCCCGGGAACAGCTGTGCTCCCGTAATCCCCGCCGCTGCAGACGGGATTTATCCCGCTCCGTGCCCGCGGATCGGCTCTCCCGGATGGATCCCGGGATGCCGCGGGCATGGGGGCCTTGGGTGGGGGTGGCAGGAACCAGCTGCTCCCTTTTCCTGTCCCTGTCCCCCTTTTCCTGTCCCTTTCCTCATTTTCCCGTCCCTTTCCTCCTTTTCCTTTCCCTTTTCCATCCCTTCCCTTCTCCTTCTCTTTCTTACTCTCCCATTCTCTTTCTCCTTTTTCATTTTTTTCTTTTCTGTCTTTTCCTCCCTTTCTTCCTTTTTCTGCTTTTCATTTTCCTTTTCTGTTCTTTCCCTCCTTTCCCTTTATCTTTTCTTACCGTTTTTCTTTCCCTTCCTCTTCTTCCTTTTTTCCTTTTCCATTTCCTTTCCATTTTTGTTTTCCTTTTCATTTTAGTTTTCCTTTTCCCTCCCAATCACTTTTACATTCCTTCTCTTTCTTAGTTTCTCTCTCATTCTTATTTTCCCCTTTTCCTAGTTTTTTTTCTTTTCCTTATTTTTCTTACCTTCCCTTTCTTTTCCTTCACTTTCCTACTTTCCCTTCCTATTTCTTTCTCATTTTCTTCTTTTTCCCTTATTTCCCTCCTTTTTCTTCCTTTCCTTTTTTTTTTTTTTTTTTTTTTTTTTTTTTTCCTTTTTTTTTTTTTTTTTTTTTTTTTCACTTTTCCTCCTTTCTCTTTTTCCATTCTCTTTTCCTCTCCCAGGAAAACCAGGAGCAGGCAGGAACAGGAAGGAGACTCCAAACCTCTTCCCTTGGACTTGGAGCATTCCTGGGCCCCTTTTCCCAGACGTGATCCCAGACCAGCCCCCAAACCCTCCAGGAATGCTGAGGGGAGCTGATCCTGTGTCCCTAATCCCAATCCTGAGTCCCTAATCCCGATCCTGAGTCCCTAATCCCGATCCTGTGTCCCTGATCCCGATCCTGCGTCCCCCTCACTGCCACCCTCGGGGGGACATGGATGGAGCTGGAGCGAGGGGAAAACCGGGATCGTGGGATCTCCTCCAAGGAGGAGCTGCCATGGGATCCTCTTTGTGGGAGACGGGGATGGAATCAATGGAGAGGGAATTGATGGAGAGGGAATCCATGGGAGGGAATCCATGGAGAGGGAATCCATGGGATGGAATCGTTGGAGAGGGAATCCATGGAGAGGGAATCCATGGGATGGAATCCATGGAGAGGGAATCGATGGAGATGGAATCAGTGGAGAGGGAATCCATGGAGAGGGAATTGATGGAGAGGGAATCCATGGGATGGAATTCATGGAGATGGAATCCATGAGAGGGAATTGATGGAGAGGGAATCGATGGAGAGGGAATCCATGGGATGGAATTAATGGAGATGGAATCCATGAGAGGGAATCGATGGAGAGGGAATCCGTGGGAAGGAATCAATGGGATGGAATTGATGGGCAGGAATCCATGGAGAGGGAATCCATATGAGACACAGCAACATCTGAGAGCGGCACCTGAGAGCATCGCTGGAGAGCAACACCTGAGCATCACCAAAAATCATCACCTGAGCATCACCTGAGCACAACCTGGGAAACACCTGGGGAACACCTGGGAATCACCTGGGGAACACCTGGGGAACACCTGGGGAACACCTGAAAGCATCACCAGAAAACATCACCAGAGCATCACCAGACAACAACACCTGGGCACCACCTGAGAGCACCACTGCAGCCTGGCTCAAGCATCACCTGAGGAACACCTGGGGAGAATCACCTGAGAGCATCATCTGCACGTCGCTGCAGAGCAACGCCTGAAACCATCCCCTGAGCATCACCTGAGAGAGCCACCCGGCAGCATCACCTGAGCAACACCTGAGAGAACCACCCGGCAGCATCACCTGAGCAACACCTGAGAGAGCCACCTGGAGCATCACCTGAGCAACACCTGAAACCATCACCTGAGCAACACCTGAGAGAACCACCCGGCAGCATCACCTGAGCAACACCTGAAAGCATCCCCTGAGCATCACCTGAGAGAGCCACCCAGCAGCATCCCCTGACAACACCTGAAAGCATCACCTGAGAGAACCACCTGGAGCATCACCCGAGAGAACCACCTGGAGCATCACCTGAGCATCACCTGAAAGCATCCCCTGAGTATCCCCTGAGCATCACTGGAGCATCACTGGAGTATCACTGGAGTATCACCTGGCAGCATCACCTGAGCATTGCCTGAAAGCCTCATCTGAGCAACACCTGAGCATGGCTTGAAAGCATCACCTGAGAGAATCCCCTGAGAGCATCACCTGAGCAACACCTGAAACCATCCCCTGAGCATCACCTGAGAGAACCACCTGGCAGCATCACCTGAGCATTGCCTGAAAGCATCACCTGAGAGAATCCCCTGAGAGCATCACCTGAGCAACACCTGAAACCATCCCCTGAGCATCACCTGAGCATCGCCTGAGACAACCACGTGGCAGCATCACCTGAGCATTGCCTGAAAGCATCACCTGAGAGAATCACCTGGCGGCATCACCTGAGCATCACCTGAGCATCAGCTGAGCACCGTCTGAGCATCACCTGAACATTGCCTGAGACAACCACGTGGCAGCATCACCTGAGCATTGCCTGAAAGCATCACCTGAGAGAATCACCTGGCGGCATCACCTGAGCATCACCTGAGCATCAGCTGGCAGCACCCCCTGATCCATCCCGGCCCTGTGTGTCCCTTCCTGCCCCTTGTGTCCCTCTCTCCCTGTTCCTTTTGTCCCTTCCCTCTTCCCTGTGTCCCTCTCTCTCTGTTCCTTCTCACTCCTTGTGTCATTTCCTGTTCATCGTGTCCCTTCCCTGTTCCCTGTGTTCCTTCCCTGTTCCTCCTGTCACTTCCCTGTTCCTCGTGTCCCTCTCTCCCTGTTCCTAATCATTCCCTGCTCCTCGTGTTCTTTCCCTGTTCCTCACGTCCCTCTCTCCCAGCTCCTCATGTCCCTCTCTCCCTGTTCCTCTTGTCCCTCTCTCCCTGTTCCTCATGTCCCGCTCTCCCAGCTCCTCGGGTCCGTCTCTCCCTGTTCCTCCCGGCCCTCTCTCCCAGCCCCTCAGGTCCCTCTCTCCCCGTTCCTCATGTCCCACTCTCCCAGATCCTCGTGTCCCTCTCTCCCAGCTCCTCGTGTCCCTCTCTCCCTGTTCCCTGTGTCCCTCTCTCCCAGCCCCTCAGGTCCCTCTCTCCCTGCTCCTCCTGTCCCTCTCTCCCAGCCCCTCAGGTCCCTCTCTCCCCGTTCCTCATGTCCCACTCTCCCAGATCCTCGTGTCCCTCTCTCCCAGCTCCTCATGTCCCTCTCCCCATTCCTCGTGTCCCCCTCTCCCTGTTCCTCACGTCCCTCTCTCCCAGCTCCTCCTGTCCCTCTCTCCCAGCTCCTCCTGTCCCTCTCTCCCAGCTCCTCCTGTCCCTCTCTCCCAGCTCCTCCTGTCCCTCTCTCCCAGCTCCTCCTGTCCCTCTCTCCCAGCTCCTCCTGTCCCTCTCTCCCAGCTCCTCCTGTCCCTCTCTCCCAGCTCCTCCTGTCCCTCTCTCCCAGCCCCTCAGGTCCCTCTCTCCCCGTTCCTCATGTCCCTCTCTCCCATCTCCTCACGTCCCTCTCTCCCAGCTCCTCATGTCCCATCCCTGTGTCCCTCTCTCCCCGTTCCTCATGTCCCTCTCTCCCATCTCCTCATTCTCCACCCAGCCTCACATCCCGATCCCTGATCCCTCCCTTCACCATCCCCTCCCCAGCAATTCCCAAATCTCCCCATTCCGGCTGTTCGGGATGGATTTCGGGATGGATTTTGGGATGGACCCTCCGGCAGTGCCCGCGGCTGCCTTTCCAAAACCTCCCTGAGCATCTCCTGCCCTTTCCTGCCCTCTCCAGCCTCTCCATCCCTCCCCGGCCTCCCGGAGCTATTTTTAGCTCTCTTTCCCGAGGGAAGGGAGTTTATGAGCTCTCCGAGCGTCGGTCAATCCCCCGATCCCCCCCCGTTCCCG